TCGATTTCTTTGAAAGCGCACAATACTACTCTGATGCTACAAGCTCTGGACTACAAAGCTTTCCTTTTCTATCTCATCGGGTGGAAAAGCACGAATCCAAAGGCAAATCCAAAAATACTCTCTTTCAGCACGTTCTCTTAAACGCTTATATTGTTTTGCTAAAGCTCTATTAAACACTGAAACGGAAGATAAAATTCAGTAGGCATTTTGAGCTCCATTTCTGGATAAACTAATTTCTTGATTTGCATTCTCTTCAGTTAATCTTTTGGCATCAATACAATCATTACTTTGAGGACTTGTTAATAAGTAAAATATGCCTTTTTTTTTTTTTACGCATCAAAACTAAATAAGCCGAATGTATATTTTCTAGGCCAGGAAAAAACGACAAGGGTACATTTCTTTTAGTGGGTGTGGTACGTGTCTAGACGTTATATGCCCTCAGAAGGTCAATACATTTAATACTGTTAATGAGAGTTTCCCGTCCTTGCTTAGAGAAATGGACAGCTAAAATGACACAATACGAAAAGTTAATTTTCTGTCCATACAAAAACTTTACTCGACTCGTGAAAAAAAAAAGAAAAAGAAAAATCTGATAGGCAACTAAATCATCTCTCAAAATGCAGCGTAAACTCAAACAGGCAGCAGGCGCATTCCAATAATAATGAAAGAAATTAAAAGAGCTTGCGTAAGTAAACATACAAGTGCACACGTTTCAGCAGAAAAAGGAGAGAGAAAGAGAGAGAAATATGCACAAACTGCGAGATAAAAATCTGATTTTCATCTGCAATACGACTGTTAATAACGGATATTGCCTTTGATCTGTTGCTGTTCTTTGTGGCTTATAAAATGAATTCCACAAAACTTACAGATGAAACGTCATGCAAAACTAACTTCTATCTCGCTAATAAACTACAATAAATAACTAATTAATCTCAAAAACAAAAAATCTCTCGAGTTTACAGAAAGCTTACTTGGAAATCTTACAACTAACAGGTGATCTACCAAACGTTAATTAAAGCTAATTAACACTATATTTATTATCGATTTCCGGTCATGCAGTGCAACAAATCTTTATTATCTATCGAGATATAGTTTAAGCTAATGATAATTAACGACTAATTATGCTCTCTAGTTCAAAATCTCCTTCAAATGATCTTGAAATACGAGGGAACAAATGTATTAATAAAAATACTCACAAACTCACTACCGTCGTCATGCACAGCCACTGGAATTCACAAAACTTACTTACCCCATAAAAAATACATGTATTCAACTATATAAAAGGATAAATAATGATAAATACGAGATGCTTTTTTACCACATAGAGATATTTAGTGAAAATTTTTATCCTACGCAGCACGTGCTCTTGCCATACTCGACACTGATAACTGATCTTCAACGCGACTTTCTGAGACTTTCCAGATTTTTTTTTTTTTTTTTTACTTTTACGTTTTTGTTTGAATTTCTTTCATTTTATTTCAGTCAATTCGAATTGGTGAGAACTTCCGTAATTTTAGCAAAATCGGATGCCCGGGGATGAGAATCACAAAGGCGAAATGCAACACAAAGGTTTATATGACAAAGACAGTATGCTGTAAGAGAACAGCAAATCCTTATTGCAAATACCAAAACTAAGAGTTTAGATAAAGACTCTACATGGAATCACAAAGCCAATTCTTGTTAGTCATGCCTTGGAAGGATACTAATTTATGTATTGAAATGCAAAACACAAACGTGATGCAACACGACAATGTCGAAAGAGAATCACAATTTTCATTTTGGATTAAAAACTCTATAAGCTTAGAAAACATATGGAAATAGAATAAAATTCGTATGAACACTGAGTCGAAAGGATAACTGCAAAGGTGATTATGACAAAAGACTTATAAAGTCGCGGTGAAGTCAGAAATGTGTCGGATTTAAGGTACGCCGTCACCCCGGGTTCAGTTGCCAAGTAGTCTTTAAAAACCTCCATATTAACAAATACACCGAAAATCAAGAACTGCAACGAGATACCGACACTTCAGAATATCTTTCCTTTTTTCATGTTTTCTAATTTATGGAACCGAAATAAGTTTGGCGTATCGGCATGAGATGTCCTTTTTTGGTCACTCATCCTGACCAAGAGTTACCAAGTTGTCAATAAGAGAATTAATATATCATCATAAAGTGTGAAATAATAATTTCCGGGATACATCGACCTGTCAAAATATCATTTCGACATAAGACCTAAAGTACTTAAACAAAATCAAATCGGATAACACGCCAGTTTACTGAAATTATCGTACTATTTCGTTACGCGCGGTTTCCCTTTCTTTTGTGTTCATAACTGGATGTTATTTGATATTTCGTGAACTTACTAAGTGTACTTTTGCTGTAATGCGAGACGTTTGCTTTTGCCTATTTTTGTTTATCATCTCGCTGTTGAGTTACACAAGAACAACAGCAATGATAATAATGAAAAAAGCTAAAACATTATTAACATACCGGGAACATTTCCAAGTAAACACTTGTTTTATTTTTATGCTTCAGTGTATATTTATCGATTATCTTTACTACCGGTGTATGTGTAGTAATAAATAAACTAAAAACATACATTACTGTTTCATTATGATTTGAAACTAAATGTTCATCATACTGATAATACGAACAGTTGAAATTAATAAACAAATTTATGAATCATTGTATAAATACACTATAACTGAGAAATACGCTAACAAAAAATAAAACTATAAATCCTTCAGTAATTATATTATTCATAAATACAAATATTAAAGAAAAGATATTTGTAACAACTGATAGGTGAAATTGGACGCTTCTCGGTTGCCATAGTAACGTATGACGCCTCAGCAGTCAAGACCTCTCATGCCAGACTGACAGCACGGTCATAATCTACAGCAATATCAAAGTAAGTTGTGGCCGTTTAGACATATATCTTTTTCTTGTTTATGTAATTTTGAATCATATAGATGTATCTGATTTATTTCAGGACTACAGGAATTTCTTTCAGGTTAAACAAGAGTATTTTTTTTCAAGTACTGACATACAGTATTTTTCCGTGCTATTAAAAACTTTGGTTAGTTTATTTATTTGTCTGTTTATATATTCATTTTATTCCTTAACTGCTAATATCATCATCACAAAAATCATCATTAATATCATCATTTTTTTATCAATGTTATTGCCGTTATTATTCTCATTATTATCATCATATTTTATTAATCTTGTTCTCATTGTTATCATTATCATTATGAGTAACATCATTATTTCTATGGCTATAAGCTTTTCTCATCACCGCATCATAATCATAATCATCTCTGTTATTGCTCTAGTTATCATTACCGTAATTATAATCACAATCACAGTTATTCTTATCGCTAGTCTTACTCATATATATGATATCTACGTCATTGTTATAATTAGTTATTGCCACTTTGCTTTGATTACCAATTCTACTCATTCATCGTTAATTATTTTCATATACACTATTTTCATGATAATCGTTACATCTTTATTGTCACCCTTACTGTTTACTGTTATCATCTTTATTGTAATATTTTCATTGGCACCATCAATCACCACTTGTAATTAAGATCATTATCATTATCTTCATAGGACTTTTGTTGTCAATATCCATTATTGTTATCATTTTCATCATCATTATCATGATCGCCAATCTTTTCTAATCATCATTTTTGAAAATGTTATCATTAGTGTTATTATTACTTTTCTTATAGCTAGTGTTATCTTCTTTATAATTGTATTGGTCAGTATCATATGTTGCCATTATGTTGCTTATTGGTCAGTATTATATGTTGCTTATAAGGACAGCAGTCATATAACTACCATTACCATTATTCCCACCATTACCATGATCAATAACATTATCATGCCATTATATATAACAGTTATAATCTCACAGCTCATCGTCATTAGCTTAACAACCATTAGACTCACTGCCATACGAATCATTATCATTAACATCCCTTTTTATTTTTTCTACTGTATATATTTTCTCTTCCACGACTCGGCAGAATGGTCGAGGGTGAGTCACCGAAGTCAGCCTCGTATGAAACACTGGAGTATGACTTGAAGCAGTTATCTGGCAAGGTGAGATTTTCTTCTAGATAAAAAAAAAAAAAAATGGATGCAGGAGTTGACTGATATAGAAAGGGGGAGGGGAGGGGGAGGAAGAGGGGGAGGGGGGAGGGAGGGAGGGAGGGACGGTGAGAGGAAGAGGAAGAGGCAAGCAGATGAAGAGAGCGAGAGAGAGAGGGGGAGAGGGAGAGGAGGATTGAGGGGAGGAAGAAGAGGAAGAATGAAGATGAAGAGGAAGAGAGAGAGAGAGAGAGAGAGAGAGAGAGAGAGAGAGAGAGAGAGAGAGAGAGAGAGAGCGAGAGAGAGAGAGAGAGAGAGAGAGAGAGAGGAGAGAGAGAGAGAGAGAGAGAGAGGAGAGAGAGAGAGAGAGAGAGAGGAGAGAGAGAGAGAGAAAGAGAGAGAGAGGAGGGAAAGGAGAGAGAGAAAGAGGAGAGGAGAGGGAGGGAGGAGAGAAAGAAGGAGAAGAGAGAGAGAGGAGAGAGAGAGAGAGAGAGAGAGAGAGAAGAGAGAGAGAGAGAGAGAGGAGAGAGAGAGAGAGAGAGAGAGAGAGAGAGGAGAGAGAGAGAGAGAGAGAGAGAGAGAGAGAGAGAGGGGGGGGGCACATAATTTGCATATTTCATAAAGTTTGTTTCAAGACTCTTCACACTCCCCGACAGCATAACCTGCACTCCGTATCATCTATTTCCCAATCTTATATTTACCTCAGTTACACCCCCTCCCCGACTTAATTTTACACCCATGACCCAATCCCATTTGAGTCCCAATCAAAGCTGTACCATATTTCTAATGACACAGATATTTCACAAGTATTTTGAATCATATCTACAAAAAAGCTTCGTTTTAGCGGAAAAAAGTTTCTTGCTCGCATAAAAGGTCCGTAGCACAAACCGCTATTTTATGTA